CATCTTCTGGGCAAGTCCCTAGGGTGTAGTCATAGTAAAGACTATCCCTCAAAGTAAAAAATGAGGAGGGTATAAATAGCCATGACACTGCCCCCACGTGACTCTTAGTGTAGGATTAGCATAAGATAAGGCTGAGAGGTCACAAAAGGACATGGTTTCCTGAGGAGTGTAGTCACTTAAATCTGACATTCAGGAGTCTCATGTGAAGAACATTTAGATAACATATTTCAATGAGAAAAATAATTCCAACTTCTTTTCTTATACCAAGAGTACGCAATCCTAGTGATTTTGTAAATGGGAGATTCCTTTCCACCAAAGAAATTGGGCCCATGGAATGGATGAAGCAGAAAGAAGCAGAACGACAGGATTAACGAGACCACTTGGCTGCTATGCTCTGCTTTTCTATCCCTCCTGCTGGAATGCACCGGAGAGTGACAGACGCGAGCAGCAGTGGTCTATGTTTGAATTCTGAGCCCTTCAGCAAACCCTATCCTCTCCGGGTTGCATTTGTACCATAATGATGATAAAAATGTCTGTCTTCCACATTTTAGTGGGCCGCTGCAAAGGGAAAATTATATTATGTATGGCAAAGCACCTCACAATGACAAGGTAATGTGATGCAATAATAATAATATTAAAAATAATTATAGCAAATGCATAGCACTTGTTATTTGCCAAGTACTGTGCTAAGCATTTACTTTTGCTATTTTGTTTAGTTCTTATAATAACCTTCCCTATGAGGTAGAATCTATTGTTATCTCTGTGTTTCAGATGGGGAAACAGAGCCACAGAGAGTTGAAGTAACTTGCTGAAGGCCAGCCAGTAAGAATTGGTGCTAGGATCTGGACTCATGCAGTCTGGCTCCTTTTAGTCACTACGGTTTAGAAAAAAACAAAACAAAACAAAACCATAAACTTTTACCCAAGCCAGAACAGCATTTGAATCCTGGCTTCAGGGGCTATGTAACTTTGATCAGGCACCTAAAGAAGTCTGAACTTGAGTTTGCTCATCTGTAAAGTGGAAATGGTTGATAATACTTATAGACGTTTGGTGAGGATTAAATAAGAAAAACATACAAAGCACAGTGTTTAACCAATAGGAGGCACATAGTGTATTATTATTATTATCAGCTATTGGGGGAAGGTTGGTGTATTAGTCTGGTCAGACTGCCGTGAGAAACTATCACAGGCTGGATGGCTTAAACAACAGAAATTTATTTTCTCACTGTTATAGAGGCTAGAAGTCCAAGATCCAGGTGCCAGCAGGATTGGTTTTGGGTGAGGCCTCTCTTCCTGGTTTGCAGGCGGTAGTAACCTTTGTGCTGTATCTTCATGTGGCCTTTCTTCTGGGTGCAGGGGAGCAGGGATCTCTGCTGTCTCTCCCTTTTCTTATTGGATTAGGAGTTCTGTGGGATTAGGGCTCCACTCTTATGACCTCATGTAACCTGAATAACCTCCTTAATGCAGTCACGTGGGGTGTCAGGCCTTCAACACATGAATTTTGGGTGGACACAATTCAGTACATAACAGGTGGGTAGCTGGGGAGAGCAAAATAGAAGGACAGAACAGGTGTTTGGCATATCTTAATGTTTAAGGTAGATGTCTTAGGCATCACTTCTGGAGGTAAAAGAAGCTGTCAGCTATTTGTGATAAATGGGTAGGTACACAATATATTTGGCCTTCTCTTTGGGGTTATAGAACATATCTCCATACTATCTATTTTTGGCCTTTTAGGTGAGCCTGAATTTAAATACATTGGGAATATGCATGGCAATGAGGCTGTCGGACGAGAACTCCTCGTTTTCTTGGCCCAGTACCTGTGCAATGAATACCAGAAGGGGAACGAGACGATTGTCAACCTGATCCACAGTACCCGAATTCACATCATGCCTTCCCTGAACCCCGATGGCTTTGAGAAGGCAGCGTCTCAGGTGAGCGTGAGGCAGGTCCGATGGGGCACGCCTGCCTCGTGTTTCGTGTGTTTGTGCATAGTGCTCCTGTGTACATACATATGCCCTCTGCAAACCTTCCAGACGGTGCAGCGGAGAGCAGTAGTGACACGTGATTCAACGCTGGCAAGAAAAATGTTCAGAATGTAAGGGATGAAATCAACTACATCGTATGTTGATCAAATTAAAAAAAAAAAGAATGTAAGGGATTATAGGGGAGTGTTTCTTCGGCAAGGTTGTGAATGAGAAATTGTGTTAATAAGTTAACATTTTAATAATTTTTTTGTTTGTGTAGTTAAATTATATTTACTGATTTATATTTGTGACTAGGTTAATTTCCTTCTAAAAATCTACAATTATGAAAAATACCTACTGCCATGTATTGGAGAAGATGCCCTGGCTGTCTCTGGATGAGCTGGTGTCAGAGTGCCCTCTGCTGAAATCAAGGAAGAGAGACCTTTGGCCAGACCAATGTTTTACCAGTGTTAATCCTTGGTTTTGATATATGATGAATAAAGTTAAAAAAAAAAAAAAGCCAAAATAGCAAACAAAAACCCCTACCTACAAAGTAAAAATAATCTCATGTATTTCAACTGTTATATAAGCTAGAAATTAATGACTTTTTAATAGAAAATGTATGGTGTGTGTTCCCATTTTGACTGGACAGGGGTGGGGGACATTATATTTGCTGTCTTCTACAGTCTGAAATGATTTGCTTATTTTATGGAAACACCTCAAAGTGAACATTTACTGTGTTTATCTACAGTTAAGAAGATCCAGTGACCTGATAGTTTGCCATTGTGAGAAACCTGGACAGTAGATTTCTGTGACTAAGTATAACATCATTATAATTTCTAAAGTTATGAGAGAAAAATTCTATTATCATATTAGATTAAGTTCTTTGATATTTTAAGGGGATATTCAGAACAGTAAGATGGGCAAAAGATTGTCATTGCTATTTTCTGTTATACATTTTTATTCCTCACAGTCTAAGCTTACATGACTTCAAAGATATGGGAATTATGTCTATATCACAGATTTGATATAGTTTAATAGTAAAATAAGAAAATTCACATTATAAAATAAAACTGAATATCTTTGAAATTCATTACTTTATAGGTTGTTTCACTATTAGTGAAATGAAGGGTTTAAATTGATCAGAAATTCCTCAAATCATAAAAAATATGTCATATTTTTTCATGAAGACTGTAAGAGGGAGACGCACTATTAATGCATAAATAACATGTTAAATTTATTTTAAGCTTCTAATCTTAATTATTTATTCTTTTGAATATTAAAAAAATAGGTTGTTGTGATTTACAGAGGCAATATTTTACTTAAATCCAATTATAAGTGTGGTTTGAAACAGATCATTTTTTTGCAATTTATATCTCTTAAACATTATTATTATTAACATTTAAGATATTATTCATCGCAAGTATTTTCCAATATTCTTAACAAATACTTTAAACCTAATACCTTCATGCTTGTATCAGTAAAGTAGTGAAAATGCCATTATGAGAGGATATTGTTGAAATAAATAATTAATCTTAGTAAATTATTTTTAAAAGCATTAATAAGACCTCAAATATGTAGTGATGATAATAATAAATAACTGATGCTTTTTGTCTTTGATTTTTTTTTTCCAGCCTGGTGAGCTCAAGGACTGGTTTGTGGGTCGAAGCAATGCCCAGGGAATAGATCTGAACCGCAACTTTCCAGACCTGGATAGGATAGTTTATATTAATGAGAAAGAAGGTGGTCCAAATAATCATCTGTTGAAAAATCTGAAGAAGATTGTGGATCAAAACACAAAGGTAGAACACCTGTATGGTTTCCTTGGATTTTGTCTTCTAGCCTAGAGAAATACGTTCTAATATCTTCATCATAATGAATGACATCGGCGGAACATCAGCACTTGTATGGGGTACTTAACTATAACTGTGGAAGTCAAGGCTGGAAAAGCTGCAGCTTTGAAATTAGTCCCGACCCCTGGAATTGGGAAGGGGGTGGGGAGCAGGAGTTGGGGGTGAGGATAAGAGGAAGGGGCCTGGCTGTGTGTGTCTTAGAGAGTGGCTGTGCCCCTCACAGAGGCCCTTTATCGGTTCATCTGATTAAGCTCCTCCTGAAGCATTTCACACTGTTAATGTTTGTCTTCTTTTCCAGAACTTTCCTCTCCCTTGCTTTACACAACTCCACTCAAAGCACTACTCAGTTTCTTTCTCTGCTTCTTCTGCCTTGGCTTAAATTCTGGCCTTCCTCAGGGTCTCATCTGATGCCCTTATCTGCTTCCCTAGGTTTCTATCCTTATACGTACCTTCAATGTCACTGCTTACACAAGGTCTCCCAGGTCCTTATATCTAACACCAGACCTTCCATGGAGCTCTGTTTCTCTGTCTTACTTGCTCACTGGGTCCCTTTATCTGGTGGCATCCAGGACCGCGAGCTTACCCTATCCCAAAACAAGTATATCCCCTTACAAACACTATTTTTTCATCTATCCCAGTCATTAAGGTCTTTGACTTTTCCATCTCTGTCACTGCTCACCAGTAATTAGTTACCAAAGCTCAGTGTTTGACCTCCCTAATACCTCTTCAGTCTTCCCTTCTTCTGCAAACTCATTCCACTGCTTTAGTTCAGGACCCCATTGGCTCCTGCTCTGGTGGGTACATGGCAGGTACAATAGTCTTCTATTCTAATTTTGTGTCCAGCCTCTTCCAGCTCCATTCAGGCTTCTCAAATTCCTCCAGAGTGTTCTTCACACACAAAATTATTGCTCTTTTGCTTAAAAATCCTTGCCAGCTCTCCACCGCCTAGAGGATAAAGTGAAAACTCAATATGGCAGAATAGTTAAGCGTGGAGATTCTAGAGGCAGCCAACTTGATTCAACTCCAGGCTTCATGCTTGCTGTGTGAACTCTGAAAGTTATATAACCTCTTTGTGCTCCAGCTTATTCATCTGAAATATGGGGTGGATAATAGTATCTACCTCACAGATGGTTGTAAGGATTGCATGAGTTAATACAGATAAAGTACTTGAGGTCAGGACCGAGAACTACTATGACCATTTCAGCATAATTTCTCAGTACTCTCTGTTATAAACCTCAGGGCTAGATGGACACATTTACATGTCCACTAAACATTGGATGTGCCTTCAAACTAATATTGTTTTCAATTACTTGGCAGAGAAATCGAGCCCATCATAGAGGAAAGGCAAAGAAGAACTGCTGTTGGCAGCTCTCAGTGCCTTCTCTATTGTTCCAGGCAAGTGTGATCTGGAGTATCAACTACTTCTAATGCCTTTCCTAAGTGAGAGCCTGGAAAGTACAATTTCTCCATTTTATTTTAGTTCCAGGGTCATTAGTGTGTCTCTTGGTCCCTGGATGCTGCCGGGTGACTCACTCCTTAATCTGCCTCTGACACCCCATATACTCTAGTCACACCAATTACCTTTTGCTCCCCAAATGCACCATTTTATAATGATTTTATGTCTTCATATGAGTCGTCATTCCAACTCTCTGGAATGCTCTTTTCTTCCTTCCATGTCACCTCCTCTGTGAAGTTGTCCTCTGCTCTTCAAGACAGATCCTGTTAAGCCTTCCTTCATATCCTTCATGTATACTTCTGGTATTGTGCTCGTTGTTACATCGAGCTTTAAGTATGTTATATTATAATTATTTGTTTATATAGCTGTTTTCCTTTCGAGGTTTTGATCACTTGATTGCAGGAACCATAATTCATACTTGAGTCTTACATAGTAAGCTGAGGATCTATTGTGAATAAGTACAATCCAGCCCATTAAGCAAATTACAATACCTGGAAAATGCAGCCGTTGAAAATCAACAGATGGAGTCCCGGACAAGCATTCAGCATGTGGTTAGGACACCAGATAGAGGATCCAGGAGACAGGGAGTCTCAGATGGTTGGTCTAAAGTTCTTAAGACTCCCCTGCCCACGCTTAGGATTAATTCCAGAAATGAGGGCTGAGCCTACAAGTGGGGGCTGGTCTGAGACAAACTGCCAAGGGCTGAGGATTCTGGCAGACCCTGAGAAGTAAGTGGCTTTCCTGTCTCTGAGTCACCGATACACTTGCAGTTCCACAGCCGGAAAACCATCTTTCATGAAAGAAGGCAGAGCTGGAAAGGCAGAGGGTGGGGTAACCAGAGGTGAAAAGAGGGCCGTCCCAGCTATGAAGGATAAGACAGAAGGGAAAAACTGTTCTGGAAGTCTGGATAGGAGCCTGCAAACTTTCCCCATTGCTCATATTGACCTGCCTGTGCTTTCTTTGTAAATGTGAGGAATGAGGGAAATAATTCCTGTCACCTATCGTGGAAGAATTGTGAAATAAGCTCCTATGGAGAAGATATTTGATTAGCAACTTTGTGCAAGTGCCAGTATTTCCAACCAGTGCTTCCTCCTCCTTCCCCAGTTGATCCTGTATAATATTTGCACAATCTATGTTAAATTAAAAAAAATTTTTTAGGTTAGGTAATATGTATTTAAAAGATGCATGTTCTGAGGAATGAGGGAAATAATTCCTGTCACCTATCGTGGAAGAATTGTGAAATAAGCTCCTATGGAGAAGATATTTGATTGGCAACTTTGTGCAAGTGCCAGTATTTCCAACCAGTGCTTCCTCCTCCTTCCCCAGTTGATCCTGTATAATATTTGCACCATCTATGTTAAATTAAAAAAAATTTTTTAGGTTAGGTAATATGTATTTAAAAGATGCATGTTCATGGTACTATTTTTTAAAAAAGAGCTATTATTAAAAAAAGTCTTAGTGCCACTACTTTTCCTTGGTCAAAGTAAATTAAAGAGAAATATGTGAAAATTAAAGTTTACTCCCTTTTCAGGAACATAAGCAAGGATTGTTTACTTTACACTAAATATTAAGTAAATCTGCTTCATAATCATGGGGTGGTATTGCCTGTGTCTGGTTCATCTCCTTTTTTTGTTTTTGTTGTTAGGAATGAGACACTGTTTAAACCTAGCCTGGTATAATATAAACAGTAGGCATTTCATTAATGTTACTGTACCTCTTTCCTCTTTCACCATCTCAGACTAATATCTATATCTATATCCCTTATAGCAGTTTTTAAATTTCAAGGTTTATTCTTCTGTTTGGCGTGCCAGGAGTCGTGGGTTATAAATGCAGATTTCCACAATGCTGATTCAGGAGGCCTGGGGTGCGTGCGCTGTGGGGGTTGTGGTGGAAAGGAACTTCATTCTTACCAAGCGCTCCAGATGCCGCCTGGCACCCGGGGGACACGCTGCTCGAGACTGGTGCAGTAGCGTATGTGTAAGAACTAACAATAGGCCAACTCTCCTAGCTTCACGTAAAGTTTGAATTTGTTTCAAAGAAGTTTCCTTAAAAAGTTGTTTAATGACAAAATTAATATTTTATTACAAACAAAAAGATAAAGCAAATATATATAAGGAAACACATAACCCACTACCCTGCAGTCTTTGATGACCACAATTCACATTTTGGTATGTATCCTTCAAAATTACTTTTTATGCAGATATCAACCTATACATACGAGGCTACTTCAAAAAGTTCATTGAAAATAGAATGAAAACATAATGCAAATCTTTCCAAGAAGTACTGTCATATATGGCAGCATATCACACATATCATTTGAACACTTTCAGGTGAATAATAAGCACAGTCTACATTGGAATGGCTTTGCCTCCAAGCTCCCACTAAAAGCAGCCCTCCCCCCTGGAGAGTATTCTGCCTGCTTCCCACGGACGGGCCATGTATACTCTCCCTTCCTTCCTAGTTTTTACTGCTTATTTCTCCCTTCTTCTCCTATCCAAATCCTACCTTATTCCCCCTGCCCCCTGACCCATGGTGAATTCCACCTTCTTCCTGAAGTCTTCATTGATTCTCCAAACCACAGTGATTTCTGCCTATTCTGGACTCATTGAAATACTGTATTTGTCAGTACCAATCATTGGGTCTGAGTAAGTAGAGGTAATGAGGGATGTACCAGGAAGAGAAGAACTGAAAATAAATTCAGCAGTAAAAGAAGAACGTTTGAACAGAATATAGAAGAATGTGTTTTAAACTCGTATAATACTAATGCCGTGTTAATATTGGGCCTCAAAAAACATAAATTCACTGTAAGCAGAGTATATGCATTTATAGAATTTTACAATTTCATCTCCTATATCAGTTATTTTTAGGTTTATTAAATAAAATTTAAACTGGATTTAATTTAAATTAATTTGAGCTTCAGAACCAGTGGTAAGTATGTATAAGAACGTTGTGTATATTTCAGATCATTGTGGAAAAATGCATATTCAGTAAATGGAATCGAGACAAATCCATATCACAAATATCAGCATAGATAAAAATAAATTTTAGATGTATTAAAGTTAAATATAAAAAATATAATCTAGTAAGATAAAATATTGATAAATATGTAATTTTTGGAGGCAGATAGAACTTTCTAAATTCCTTATATAGACACTGGCACATGGGTGCCACTTAATAGTTATTGAACAAATGAATGAAATGTGAAAGCAAAGGAAGAGACCATAAAGAAAAGATCAATAGGTTTGATGTTATGTTCTTAAATATCTTAATGTTCTGTATTTTAATCACAAAATTTAAAAGGCACATGACAAACTTGTCATTAACTGTATTTTAATTACAAAATTTGAATGGCTGATGACAAACTTGAGAAACATTTAAAATAGGTAGTAAAGGGTTAATGTTTTTACTAAATAAACAACTCTTGCAAATTAATAAGAAAAGATATACATTTCAATAGAAAAGTCAGTGAAACCATATGTAATTATGTCACAAA